TTAATGTCCGGCCGATTGTATTCAAGTATTCAGAGTTCTGGACGTTAGGGACGGCACGAGAAGTGCAGTATTCCGTCGGACAGAACAGGAACCGCGGCTGACCTAAGCTCTGGTACACCTCATTGGAAACGGACACCTGTGCGCTCGCAAACGACTGGAACACCTCTTTGTCTGATTCACTGATTTCCGGCTCAATATCGTCGAAGAGGAGCGCAAAGGCATTGCATCCAAACTGCGAGACCTGCTCTAACTTGCGCTTCAGACACACCACGTCTTTGGCACTCGAATACGATATGTCCAGACCTGGAGAGAGAGCGTATATCAGTTGGATTGCGCTCTCTTTGGCCGCACTTATCAGTGAACTCAGCTGTTCCGCCTCTCTGTCCACATCGAGACAAACAATCAGTTATTCAGTCATCAAATCATTGGTTGACTCACTCGACGGTATAGAGATCTCTCCAGAAGGCTCTGTGTTTGAGGTCATCCTTAGGGGCATACATATAGGTGTTGAGACCAAACCGCTTGAGTCTGTCATGAGATTCACTTTGAGATCACTTTTCAATCAATGGTTAAATGAATGTCAATATTAATACTTAATGAACAGATCTCTGCGTTGATTGGCAGTCCACGGGCGCCCATAAAAGCCTAAGACATGTGTTCAAGTTAGTCACCAATCACTCAATGAATCACTTGATTAACAATCAATACCTTCGACAACACCGGACATGAAGTGATCACTTGATTCCGAAGTCTTAATATCAGTGGTCTTCGAGCCAATGCCGGACACGCTTTCGTCAACCATTTTAGACATCAATCACAAGATTTGGTGGAAAACTAAGACTTTTATAAAACTAAACTCATTTGCAATGAATGAATGAATTGAGAGATGAGTTAATAAGCAATGAATGAAACAATGAATGAATAAATTGAGTGTCAAATCAAAACAAATTGAAAGCAATGTTTGAAAACAAAATCAATTTGACGTCAAGTGTTGGGAGTGGAGGGGAGGGCAGGGGTGGGGCTATGGCTATGGCTCACTGGGGGTCACATATACTATGCACGCTATTTCACTGTAAATATTGACTGCTTTGACAGCATATGACAGGGGGAGTGAAGTGAACGCATGCGCTGTTGGCTGTGAACGACTCAAGTCTTCATTTTATTTGATTAATCACTCAAACAGTGGTTTGTTTTCATCTGATTGTCACTACTGTCACCACAACCACCACAACCACACATTCCCTCTACCATTCATTTGATGATAACAGTAATCATCTCCAAAATGGTCTTCCATTGCAACTGATCTCCACTGCAAGACATTTGTTGCCATCGACTCATATAAGGATCAGTTTGTGTGTTGTGCTGACGACGAAGGGACGAGTGATTGGATCCAAGCGTTGATCTGCAAGTGAGTGATGGCTCGAAGAGATGGTCACTCTCGAAGTCACGCGTCCAGTGGTCACAATTGGCAACGCTCTCGGGGGCAGAGGTCAGGGGGCGGCCACTCGAGCGGTCAGAACAGCATTCTTCACACGTTTGACGACGAGTTCTCATTCATCTCTCCGTGTCTTAAATATTCCCTCTTCTTCTTTAACCTCATATTCTGGGTATCATTTGATCCACTCTTGTGTCCGATGTATGTCTGTATGTCTAACAGTGTGTGTGTTGTGTCCACAGCTGGTGGGCGGCACTCTCATAGGTCTGGGCGGCTGGTCCTTCCTCGAGGAGTACGACCACACATTCCTCAAAGTCCAGAACATATTGGATATAATACTTCATATCTCTGTGGCGCTCATGACTGTCGGCGCCATTATATTCAGTATGAGTTTTGCCGGATGTTTGGGTGCTCTCAGGGAAAACCTATTTTTGCTAAAATTGGTATTAATTGCATACCATTTATAGTGATTGCAAACTAATGATTACTTTTATGTTTTTGTGTCCATAGTATTCATTACTCCTTCTATTGCTGTTCGTCGGAGAAGTCATACTATCGACCGTTGCGTTTGTTTTTCCCAATTCCTTCTCATATTATCTGAAGGAAAGCCTTTCTAAGGATCCAATCATCAAATATAGAGACGATACTAACCTTCAGAATCTCATTGATGTCATCCAAACAGAGTTCAAATGTTGCGGTATTTCTGATAAGGGATACAAAGACTGGTAATTGAATGAATTGGAGGAATGTTATAACTGATGAATACTAAGTGTATAATGAATGGATAGGTCGAGGAATATATACTTCGAGTGCAATCAGACGAACCCGAGTCCAGAGCGATGTGCTGTGCCTTTCTCCTGCTGCAGGAACTCTAAAAACTTCGATGTATTCACTATTTTATTTATTTTAGTAATTCTCTAAAGTATTCATTTATTGTTTCATTCATTCATAGAGTGGTCTCATAAACATAATGTGTGGATATAATGTCCAAAATATCAGTTCTGTTGTTGAAGTCAACAAATATATCTTCACGAGAGGTTGTATTGAAGCCATAACTGAGATCATCGAAAGGAACATGAATTTAGTGGCGGCCGTGTGTTTGGGGTCAGCACTCGTCCAACTGTTGGCCATGTTTTTAGCGCGTTCTCTTCAGGGACAGATACTCGCACAGAGGGCCCGATGGATGTGACATTCCTGTACTTAGACACACATACACTACATAGTGAATCATCTCTCTCTCTCTCTCTCTCTCTCTCTCTCTCTCTCTACTTATTTTTTATTAGAAATCGATGGAAATGTGATTTGAATTGAGTTCAAAGATTTAAATAATTTGAACCAAAAGTCATTTTATATAAAATGAAAATATATTTGATACGCTAAACGTATTTATGTTAAATAATTTTGAGCACAATTTTGTAATCGATTCCTGATATGAGAGTCGAGTGCCTTAAATGCAATCTTGCGTTCAACCGCTCTTTCGCTACAAAATTGACTTCGAATTTGTGTTCAAATGATTGAGAAATGAATTTTCGAGTGAATCTGTTAACTATTATTTGAAGAATTGTCCCATTTTTGAAACATTGGTTTAGTGTTGAGATTTTGTAAAGTATTTCATTATTTACTGTAAATCTTATTCTCATTTTTACTGAATTATTACTTAAAATAGTTTCTATTGAATAAATTGAACCAAAGTAATGAAAATCTGAAAACAAAATAAATGTAAATGAATTAACTTTGAAAAATCTTAATTTTTTAATTCAAATAATTTTAATATACTTTAGTTTTAGTTAAATATAAAAGTTTTAAAAGAATTTTGTTTAATAAATGCTTTTTATTATTCATATCAAATGATTGGAATAAAAGTCGTTTTGTGAAAATAATGAATAATTTATTAAATATTTAAATGTAAAAATAAGTTAATTATAGGCACTTAATTGCAATACCGTTTAAACCCTCGAATTGAGACAAGAGTTAAGCAAAAGACCAAACTTTCGGCTCTTAAGAAATGTTAAATAAAACCAATTTCATGGATATATTGTCTTACATTCTGTACAAACATTTGGCATTAATTCAGTCTCAGAATTAAATGTAATCATAATTACAACACAAATGCATAAGTAGTTTGATTTTGCATTATATATTGGAATCATTGGTAAGAAAATGATTATCAAAACAATTGTTTCGATGACAGGACTAGTAGTAAAGCAAACATAAGATGAATGTATGGATTGATTAACCGAATGTCAAATCAGGAATATTTTCATTCAATTAAGTTAGAAGTTATGACTCAATGACTCAATTCATGGATGAAATGTCTGTTGAGATGGCATCTCATTGCCGGGAGAGCCGGGAGTACTGACGGGAGAGCAAGAGCTCGAGCCGCTCGCACTTTGATGGCGTATATGTGACGAGTGGTCAGCCGTTGACGAGTGCAGCGCCAACTCGTTCAGGAACGACATGTTCGAGCCGTAGAAGCGCTCCTGTTCTTCCCTCTGACGCATAAACTCCTCTTCTATTCTCTATTCACACCAATCAAAGCAATTCATATATAAGTGATCGATATATCCGATAGAATAGGAAGTTGGGAACCCTTGACCGACCCGACCCTTAAGGGTTTCGGACGGGAACGGGTTTCAAAATGTGGTCTAACTTTGGACTCTAATATAGGGTATAAGTGTTATACTGTATAATACAGACCTGTTTGCGGGGCTTGAGGTGAGCCTTCCAGTCACGGAACTCGTTGTGGTGCTGGTCGTCCATGAGTTTCAGTTTGACGGTCTCGTGTTCCATAAGGGACTTGCGTTTCTCATTCTGGATCTGCTCGAGGTCTCGGATCGTCGCCTCACAGAATGCGCGCAACTCTTCCAACTGTTTGTTGTGTTTGAGTTCTTGTCGCAGTTGTTCCGCTTTGTATCGCTTCTTCTCGCTCTCCTGAAAGTGCTTCAGTTTATTGCGCTCTTCATCTGATGAGCTGCTCATCGCCAGGTTAGCCATACTTATACGCAGACTCTCTCTAAACATCAGTTCCCGGGTCTTCATCTCGGAGCGGATCCGTTTGGGCAGATGTCGCCTCTCTATGGCCTGTCGTTTGAGGAGTTCGTCCTCTTGGAGGGCATTCATACGCTTCACTTGTTCCAACTCCTGTGAGGCCACCAATCAGTGAGTAATGCACTCATCATTCATATCATATCAATTCAATCATACCTTTTCATGTCTGACAAGCATTTGATGCCTTTGAAGGAAAAACGAGTCTTTGAGTTGTCGTTTGGAGAGCTGATGCTTCTCATGAAGATGTCGTTCTTCGAGTTCCCAAATGGCCGCCTCTTTGTTCCTCTGGACCTGTTGTTTCTGTTGCAGGAACTGTCGCTCAAGAAGTGCCAATTTGTCTCTATGGCTCTCACTTAGCCTCTTGAGAGACATGTCGTGACTATCATTAAGACTCTCAACAAAAATCCTTTCCCTTTCGTTCTGATCGATGTCTAACTTCTCTTTGCGGACGCGGAACATGTCCTTACGTTTGTCTTTAGGCATTAGATCCACTTCCTGTTTCAGAAGCTTCGACTCATTCTTCATACTCTCCCTGAACTGTTTGAGTTCCCTTTCCTGTTCCGTTCGGATCTTTTTCGACGCAAACTTCAAATCCATTTCCTGTTGTTGTTCTGCTTTTTCGACTAATTGTTTCTGTTGTCGGTTAAGAGCGTCCAAATCGTTGTCAAAGTTGCGTTTCATTGTAATCATCTCCACTTCAAAGCGCTTCTCCTGCTGTTCGATACCGAACTGGGCTTTGAACGACAGGTCCTGGAACTGTTTGTTCTCTTGCTTTTGAAGCATTTTTAATTCACGCAACTCTTGCTTCCTATGAGTCAATCAATCGACAATTACTCTACAGTTCCAAACATTTGCTCATCAAATCATACCTCAAGACGTGGTCATCACGTAATTTGTCTGAATCGCCATAAATTACTTTACTTGTGGTGGTAGTGACCACAACGCCGTCGATCAGGAATTTTCGGGTTCGCGTTAATGTCTTCTTTTGGGCAGAACTTTGTGCGTTATGACTCTTCTTGAGATACATGTCCTTAGATTTGAGAAAATAGTGTCAAAAGTGTTTCAAATAAGACATTATAAAAAGACAAACCTTTTCTCGTCGTTTCCTTAACTGAACGGGATTTGTGGCACTGGTTTGTGTGTCATTAGAAACGCTGTTCTCTTTATCACTGCTAACACTGAAAAAGCTTCCGGAGTCTGAAAGCTCTCGTTTCAGAGCGGAGGCATTGGATTTGGCGGCCGATCCGCCATTGGCTACGTTAGCATTGGAAGTGGAACTGACTTTAGTAACACTGGAATCGTTGTGAACGGGCACCTGATCTACACGTGTTTGGGACACTTCGTCGCTCTCGTGGGGAACACTAGTCATAGCATCGGAGTATACTTCAGGTTCTGATTCAGAAACCAAATTCAAATTGACTTTAATTCGTGGCTTATTTTCGGCTGCATTTGCACTGTTGTCAGAGGACGAGGTGTGGATAGAAAGGGTGTCATCGGTCTCGGAATGCGATGAGATGTGACTCGATGTCAAATCACTGCTCATTTCGGGCTCTTTTTTATGAATTTTAGTCTCGTTTTGGAACACATTCTCATCACTCGAAGGCATGTACTCAGTGGTGACCACTATCTTATCACTGGTTGGGAAGTGTTCGTTGCGAACAATCACTACCTCATCATTAGTGGAACCATTCAAATAAGAATTTCGAGAATTCTGAACATCAGACTCGCAAGTGTTTTCTTCTTCGTTCGCCGTCTGAATCATAACATCTTTTCCGTTGTTATCAATGGTCACAATCGACACGTGAGACATATCGAGAGTCGATTCCTCTAAAGTCTTAATTATTGTGCTGTGATTTGGAGATACAGTCACTTCATAACTACCACTCACTGCCTCTTCACTTTGCTCTTCAGTTGCAGTCGATTCTGATTTTTCAATGATATTTGTGGCAATATTTTCAACATTCATGTCCTCACTATCAATAGATCGCTTCTTTTCATTATTTTCGGTCACAACTGGTGTTTCGTTCTGTGGTTTCTTCTCAATTGTATCGTTGGGTTCATTGGAAATGTTGTTCTCATTTTGCGAAGTAATTTGCGGCGGTTTGGGCGCCTGTCGTTTCTGATGGTGACTATGGTTCACAACAGGCGCTATATTTTCTTTTGCGTTTTTATTGGTGTTATCTTTACTCGTGTCCACACATTTGAGCGGTTCTTCAGCTTTAGAAACCGTTCCTTTGGTTTCGTCGCATTTCGTGTCATTTGGTGTCTCACTCTCGTCAACACTCAACTGAGACTCTGTTATCACACTCTGTCGGACAGACGCCGGTTCCTATCATTGAGTTTAGAAAATTAGTATCAAATCTATTTGTCCTCAAAGTATATATTAAATGGAAAGAAAGCAAATGGAAATGAAAGTAATTTTTAGCATAAAATAAGAGCGGATACAAAGACATGAGTCCTACCCGTCCTCTCCTTTACAATGTGTTACGCAAAGAGAGTAGAAATTTAGAGATTCATATGAGAATAGATTCAGAGATTGACAGAATTCAATGGATTAAGTCATTCACTATTCATTCAAATTTTCAATCCATACCTCAATAATCTCGTCTTCATTCTCTTCAGTAACCACTTCTTCAACAACTTCTGCCTTATATTCACTAATGAGCGCTAAAATGGGTTTCTTATCGTTGAAATCCTTAATGAATGGATGATTTAAAAGGTCGGTAGCATTAGGTCGTTGTGTGGGATCTTTGACGAGACAAAAGGTTAAGAAGTCATTAAACTGTTTGCTCCAAAGGGATGGTTTGTCTAATTTCGGTGGATCTGCTTTCTGTACTTTGAGCAGAACCCTCATCGGCGCCATTTGATGGTTAGGCGGTTCCATTTGGGCGAACTCTATTAGTGTCACTCCTGTCCAATCAGTCATATAATGTTAGCCACACTTTATGAATACACAACCACCGGCTCAACAACACTCACCCAAAGACCAAATGTCTGCCTTATAGTCATATGGATTATCACGAAATGTCTCACACATTACCACTTCAGGAGCCATCCTATAAATCAAGTCAAAAGACTTTATCATTCTATTCATAGATGTAAATGATGTCCATTACTGTCATACCAATAAGGAGTTCCAATAAATGAGTCTCTTTTTTGAAGTGTGTGTTTGTTTTTGGCCGACACACCAAAATCAGCTGACAAGTGAAATTAATAACATTGCTGATTATATCATACTTATAATGGTGTGGTTTAGACATACCTAACTTGACCTCCCCGTCCAGCGTAAGCAATACATTACCGGCTTTAAGATCTCTATGAATGATCTTATTTTTATGTAAAAATTCTAGTGCTTTACAAATATGATGGCAAACATATTTAATTTGGCTCTCAGTTAATGGTTTCTCCAAATCAATCATAATCGAGTCAATAGCCCCGCCCTCGCAGAACTCAATCAACATCTAAACAATCAGTAAATGGCTTAAAATACATTCAAATCGCGTCATGTATGAAAACAAACCCAGAGTTTTCCCTCATAGAAGAACGCTTCGAGCAGTTCCACGACATTCTGGTGCCGACATTCGGCCAGAATATCGATCTCAACGGTGAAGTCCTGCAACTCGTCCTCACCCTTGAGCTCACATATCTTGGCGGCCGCTAATTTGCCGCTCTCTTTGTTCTCGGCCTAAGTCATCGCACATATATTCAAACCATCTTTTATTACAACATCATTATCACATATTTTCTCTATCAATACAGTATATGCACACAATTGACATTTAAAAATGAGATTATAAATATGATTATATTATATCCTATCCTATATACGGTAAACTGGAAACGTTTCATATTATTTTATTCTATAGATAATGATTTTTATTATAGATTACCAAATTCGTAAACTTACAAAATATCAGTTCGTTCAATAGGTTTTGATAATAAAGTTCAAAAATTAATTATTATACAATATTACTGTAATTCTTAAAAATACTTAATAAAAGGTTTTACGTTCAGAGTAAATAAAGTGATTTCAATGAAAACTATCTACCGGTATTTACAGAATACTGTGCATATAAATCTAAAATATACAGTACAAACAATTATATAATGAGTGAAAATAGTGTTAAATGGTTGTGTTTTTCAGTATCAATTTAATTCAGTCTATTCTGACATAAGTCTAAAAATTGTGGTTAATTTCAAATGAATAAAAGTGTAGTATATTTAATCAAATATACAATTATTATAGAATGAAACTATTAGTTTTTGCAACAAATAATTAATGAACTAAAAACAAGTCATTTATGATATGAGAAGTATTTGAATAAAAAATATTGTCGTTAGAGAATATAAATTAAGTGGAAAGGGATTAAGATCTTCCGTATTCTCAATGAGTTGTTGTAATGATAAGGAATTAGTCTTAAAGGCATTAGTTTTATATATCATCGAAGGACTGGTTTGTCGACTAAAAGACATTAATAATCTAATGAATGATATCTAAAAAAAGTTCATATGATTTGAATTTATAGAGAATTACAAAACCATTTAATTTAATGTATAATTAATATACAGTAATATTAAACTCTAAAATCAATAAAATACATCACAAACTATTGAGACATTTCATTTCATAAATCATTAAATTCTTAATTAAAACCTTTGGCTATACCTAACAGTTGGATAGAAATATAGCCAAAAGCTAAGTCTTTTTAAGAGTTATATTCTTGTAATCACTTCAAAATAATTATTTGTTAATGAAAAGCAACACATGAGGCAAATATAGTGACAAATATATGACACAAACCTTATAGACTTTACCAAAGGCTCCGTCGCCTAATTCGCCGATTATTAGCCAAAAGTCTTCGGGATTCTCATTGAACCTAATATTGTGGTAGACTTTCTTCCTCTTGACATCAGTGGAACCGTTGCTCCCTTTGAACATCTTTCCGATTTTGTCCAAAAGAGCCGCCATTTCTTGAGCCGATTATCACAACCGATTGTATGAGTTATCAGTTTATTATACAATTCAATGGTTTGCTTCAAATGTCACCCAATGGTCACAAATATAATCAATTCAACAAATGCTATATTATGTCAATCCATTCATCAACTAATTTAAGGCACTTTTTGCTAATTGTTATCAATTCCTAACAAAACCTCATTTATTGCACAAACAGTCATAATATGAGTCCATTTGACGGTAAGTGACCAATGGTTGGATCCATCCATTCATTGCATGGATTCGCGTTAATGGACATCAGGTATGGACATGAAGTGCATGTAATGGTGAAGCGGTTAACGTCTAATGAATTGATGAAACAATTAATTCACTCATCTCGTGATGAGTCATACGTTGATAACTCGCACAATTCGTTGCCAATCACTTGCACACTGAACACCTAGTCTTCAGTCATTACCTCATGTGCGATACTCACAGGTTTACTACCCAGTCACCAACGTAACCACAGGTGTATTTGTGTTGATTTTGAGTAAATTTGTAATTTATATTATTTGTTAACTTAGTGAGCATGTAACTGACGGATTTCAATACAGAATATCCGACAAAATCCGCATTCAATGCAATCAACACAACAATTACGTCAACAATACTCACCAATCAATGACGACATTGACAACTGGATTAGCATTGCATAACATCCAGACACTTATGATGCATGTATTGAAATAATCGGTAAATAGGCATCAATTAGATGCCCATAAATCACTCGCATATACGGTATAATAGTATTATTATTTAACAAAATATGATTTATTAGTATTTTGTTTCAAATGATCAATAAAATGATGGCAACAAATGTTTTAGAAATGACACAATAATTATAGAATATAGACATATAATATACAAATGAAGTCACGCAGTGGTCATCCAATTGGTGCCGTCCTCAGGCACGAGGTGTCCGGTAACTAAGAGGACAATGTCAACGATCCACCAAATGCCGACCCCTCCCAAAGTCAACAGTTTGCCGACAGCTGTTCCCGTGTGACCCAAACAGAAGCGATCCATTCCTAGGAATCCCAGTAATAGAGAGTAGAGTAATGTCGTGACAAAGTAATGACCAGAATATCTGTTCCAAAGATACTTCAGATGACATGTGTTCAACAGTACATACAATGCATGGGTAACTCACTTAACACATGGAAAGTTAGGTTTCATAAAAGTTTTGTTTCCAAAACATTGGATACCTTCCAAAACAGTACAGTTCCGGGACGTGAACTGCATGTCCTCGTACTTCTGGACTCCAAACTTTACACAATTAAGTCATCGTTAGATTGCAATACAGTATGACATGAATGTTGGCTTTCAATACTTTACTACATCCGTGTCCGGCCTCTAGTCTGGCCGTCTCGTTGCCCCTCCAGTCATACGGTTCCTCACATTCCAAGAACTCGAGTGGTCTTCAAACAAATCATTCAATGAGTTATCAAATCATTTCATTGAAGCGATTATAATACAGACAAATGACTGCATGGGATATATGGAGAATGTGGGCCATAGTCCTCGTCTGCACAAAACACTTCTGAAGAGCACTCTTGGGTTTCATTGTGGACAGTGATGACAGACATGCTGTCACTCGATTCACTGCCAACCATTTGATCCAATAATACAATCCATACCATTATTAACCACTTCATTGTCCTATAATGTGATGTCAATTAACTGAGTCTACAATGAAGTGAAAGCATGTCTGAGATGTAAATTAAGAGTAATTTCTAAATAATAAGTCAATAGAGCAGTGATTAGAGATAATAGTGACAAATGGTGTCAATCATCGAAATGAATGTAAGCTTTAATACACTGAACAACACATTAATGGTCTCTTAATAGTGTCTGAAGTGTAATCTTTCGACAAAAGAAACCCAACTAGAAACCTAGTTTCCGGTGTTGAGTACCGAAAGTTATGTTACAGACTTGCGACACCATCACTACCGGTTGTGTACGTAGCCACAATTACAGTCAATGAGCTGTTCTCGCCAATCAGTGGCCAGAACTGACATCAAACACACCACTGATTGGGATGAGACATAGATATCTTTGATATACTTAGGTTAGGTTAGGTTTGCCCTCACGAGCAATACACCTAAACATGAATTGTTGCCAAACACTACTGAACAGTCTTTTTCAAAAGCACACAAACATTGCACGCAAACACTTGGAGTCTAATACATTGATACCAGTGCTGCCGCAAACATTATGATACATTTGATGCAATGTTTTTACATTGTACAAGTATTCAATTTATACGGTATAGTACGGTACAGGTATTAATAGTGCATTTAAACATTGCATACAGTATTTTGCTAATGTTGTCAATACCTGTGCACTGCGTGTATGAGTGTATGAGTGTATGAGTGGTGTATTGATGTATCACTTATTGATTTTGTGTACAATTTGTATGGACTCTCACTTTAACGGTTTGACAACGTGTACAGTAGATAAATATCGTAAAACTACTAGTAATTGTGATAATATGCGGTTATCTAGATAATATACCATTGACATTATAATGACATAACTAGCTGTGAGTGCTCACTTCTGGCAAATGATGGACATAACGAACGGTTTTGTCGAGTGTTGGCAATCGATTGGACGACAGAATAAAGCCGTCGATGAAATGGTTGGGAACAGCCATCACTTGAAAGACACTCGAAAGACGTCTTCAGTGAAAAGTAATCAAAACAACGAATTCAACCGAAACGCCAAAGATTTGGTGAAATCTATCAGTGATATGAAGAAGTACTTACTGGACAACCGAAAGGATTACATCAATATCTAGTAAGTGTTGATTCACTTGAATGCCATTCAAAGGCTAACCGACACTGATTTGCTGCCAACAGTAGTCCATTGCTGTCATTGGCGTCAATGATGACCGATAGGGAAAGGGATGAAATCGACGAAGACGTCGAGCAGTTCATCAAAATATGTAACGACACGGCCATCAAGTGTCTTAGGAATGATGGTTTGTTAGACATGTCTTTTGATGACAAACTAATCACATAAACGTATTGTTTTAGTGAAGAGAGGAGTGAGGAGTCAGTTGAGTGAACACCAGAATAATGTCATCGATTTGATTGAGAAGTATCTGAAGAGTGTTTGCGATATTCATAGCCAACAGAAGGCCATTAGAATCAAAAGAGCGGTCGAAAAGCAAAGACTTTTACGGTTAGGAAATATAGTCAGTAATAAGAACTCAGAAAACGGTATCAAAAAGGATTTGCATTCAAATGAACCGAATCTCAAGTCAGACAATAAAGAAAACCACACTTTCGGTGAACCACTCAATGGATTGAACTATAATAATGACAATCAGATTAAGAATGAGATAATTATTGAATCAATGAATGCGAGTGTAGTTCCCAATGAGGAAACGTACCAACAGTTAGAACTCAATAAACATGAGATACAAGTGTTTGAAGAAGAAAATGAACACTTGTTTGAAGACATGAATAGCTTGAGTGATGAGGTGAAGGACATCGAACTGAAAGTCGTGGAAATAGCCAGACTTCAGGAGATATTCACGGATAATGTGCTGAAACAAGAAGTGGATTTGAATAAACTCAACGATTTGACCATTTCTTCGACTGAAAACATCAGAGGAGGGAATCAACAGCTGAGGGAAGCCATGAAGAAGAACGCGGGCTTTAGGGTATGGATTCTGTTCTTCATAACCACTCTGGCCTTCACTGTACTCTTCCTCGACTGGTATAACGATTGAGTCAATCATTGTTATCATAGATATTAGTAAATGTTTGTATTATTAATAATTTTCTAAGTTTTGTTCAATTATTTAATAAAATGACAATAAATTAATGGATGATTCGAGTGCTACACACGCGACCAGGGCGTCAAAGGACATGGAGTAAACGGGACTGTTATTGGTTCCCACGTAATATATTTGAGTGCATTCCGTGGGCTTCCGTTTGTCCCAAAGTCTCGTCAGACCATATCTGGCGGTTCCCGACATTACAGTCCGGAAGTGATCCGACGATATGCAGTACACGGCTGAGTCGTGCGGGTCTTCCATACTGAGGACACTGACGGACATTCATATGCTGTTAGTTCTGATTCTATGGACACAACTAATAAATAGATACCATTTGTGAGGAGATCTCTTGTCCCACAAACGAACAAAGCTATCGTAACCACAACTAAGCACTTCGTCATTGGATTCCCAGAAGCCGTGCAAAACTCCGGCTCCTCTTCTGTGATTAGTTCCGAATTGACTCAAAAGTTGACCACTTTTTCAATTAAAAGTGTCTTAGAATTAGAGAACAAACGATTGGCCAAAGAATCTAATGATTATACCTTTGAATGTCATATAGAAGTAGTGGTTGCAGAGGTCCACAACCGGCCGAACCCACTATAAAACTAGTGCCCAACTCATCGATAGCCACATTCAATACCCTATCGTTGACTTCAATTATTTTGTCGACTCTTAGAACTGAATCCGCGTTAACATTATCATTGAAAAGCGAACAAATCTTAACCAATTTGTCTTTAGATCCGGTGATTAATTTGTTTTTAGAAATGTCTATTGAATTGATATCATTTGAGTGCAACTGATTTCGACTCATAACTGGTTTATCACAGGATTTACGCCAAACAGCTATCGATCCCTTCCAACCGCCGGACACCACAAAGTCATCGTTGACTACGAAACGACAGATATCTTCACCCGTTTTATACACTTTAAGCAAATGCTTGTAAACGGATCCGCTTTTCGGGTTTCTCTTGTATCTGTGAATTAAGTTTCCTTTTGTGAACCACAAGAAATCCTTTTGTAAGCAAATCCATGGCATAAATCTGTGGACAAATACAATAGGATAGCCTTAATATTGATGTCAATTCACACAATCATAACACCACTGGACCTGCATTTATGTCTCACAACTGTCCTCTCGCTATAGACGCCATCCCTCCAGTTCTCAGACGTCAGACACTTCTCTCGTGGTGTGAGAAGTCGTGAAGACCTACATATCATGTGATGTGATGTCTGGTTAGTGACCAAAGACCACAAACTCTTGTTCAGCCAAACGTATGAGTCATTTGCGACGATTTGAAACAACTTTTGTGAACAACAACTCAAAGACACCAAACTTTTGACATCACAGTAACTGAAGATTATGTACAATATGTCAGTGGGAAGTGTCTCCAAAGTCCAACACTTGCGTCCCTTCTTCCTCCTGTTCTTCACTAAACCATTCATTTGATGGCAATTGACAGTCAAGTTGACTGACATATCGTTGTCAACAAACCATTACATCATTACATCACACAAACACTGCAACACTGGTAGAGGTGTTCATCCATTGGGCCCATAGGCTGGCAATGCATTGAATGCAAGCAAAAACACTGGAATTTTGAGTGAAAAAGGCCTCAATTTTTGACGACACCATTGACTCTGCGTTTGAATGTTTGGCGCAGTTTTGCTGAAAGTGTTGCAGTCGTTGTGCACGCAATCACTCATTCACTCACCGCTTGTCACAAGTCATTGTTTAACGCGTTTTCAAATTTACTTGTAATTAGCGATATTGACAACAATGGTATGGATGTGCCATACAATGGGCAGTGCTATCGCAATATATCAATGACATACATGTCCACGGATTGGGCACAGGATTGCACTTTTCTATGGACAAAGCCTATGAGGTATTCCTACTTGAAGTGCCCATAACTCCCGTTCCTGTTCTGACCACTCAGAAAGATTGCCAGATCTGTACTGAGCACCTGTAGCCCAATCCGTGGACATGTATTTGAGTGATATATCTCGATAGCACTGCCAAAGCACATGTATTACATTTACATTTGATCCACAGTTGGATGACATCGAAGATATGCATCCAATGAAAGAGGAGCTCATCTCAGACGCCAGCCTGAGATATTGACTGCCAGACAAGCCATAACTGCTGGTTTACCACAAACTTTACCTCTACCTGAGCCTAAACTCACTTACGAACCGGGGTTTGTTGTGCTCGAAACTAAGTTAGTAACTAAAAGATTGAATTGCTTTTCGCTGACATTTCTTTAATTTCTTTTATTTGTTGTAAAAAACAACAAAATTCTGTTTTTAACTTATTTTTAACATTAAGTAACAAATGAATAAAATATGAAACAATTTGTTTAATTTTAATATCATTGAGCGTTCACTTCATCAGACATTCCCTTCCCAGACATCATTGCCTTGCTTTGCGGCCAAACGTTTTCTTTCTGCAGAATACAAATGGTTTGAAACTTTCAATTCATTGAATCGAAGGGAAAGGGATCGGAAACAAAGAATTGAATGAATGGTTAAGGGATAGAAGATGGAGACAACGGAACAAACCCTTGGCTTCGTTCAACTTCTTCCTCTCCGCAGCCCTCTGTTCGGGAGTAATCCTATCCCTTAAACCCAGTGATTGAGTGACTAATCTTCGCGCTAATGATGCACTTGTTTGAGGTCTTTGTTTAAATGGTTGTAAAAACTCTACTCAATGAAGATTAGTGAGCATTACTTAACCGGTATATCTTAAAAGTAGTTGAAAGCAGTCAATGACATACCGGAGCACTTGCGAGCTTTCAGTTTGGACTCTTTGATGGCCTGCGAAAGGGGCGCATTGAATTGCAAACCCATTTACATAAAGTCGCGAAGCCACCGTCGCAAACTTAACCTTTTCTGTTGGTTTCGCACACACAGCAGTTGGGTAAACTACAGTTTCAGTGCTCTTGATGTTTTTGGGTATCATTTCAATGAATATATCAATAAGAGAATGAATGGCAGAAAATACTTGAAGATTGAGATTGAAGTCATTAAATCTTGAGTTTTGAGTTCAGTGGCAAAGTCATAGACTTCGAGGACGTGTGCGAACTCCGAGCCATCGACTTCTGGTTCGTTGTATTGGAAGTTCAAGTAATCTATTTTAGTCTTTTCTTTGAAATTTAGGTGAAAAGATAGTGTTTAGTCTAGTAATTGAGATAGCCGCTTCAGGACAACTTATGTAAGAGGTAATAGTAGCTTGTCTGTTAGGGTTCTTCAGAGCAGGTGTGAGAGTAGTAAACTGGGCTTAAGTGCAGTCATGTGTTCACTCACTTCTTCGTAACAATTTTTGGTATCAAATGAGTTGTTTTCAATGTAATCAACAGATAATGAATTGGTTTGATTTGTATCCGAAGAATGAATGTCACAATTGTGGCGCTTCTCATGACTAGAATCACTGATTTCAAGTCGAGTCATATTATCCATTATTTGGCACATAGTTTGTGGTAACTCTTGAGAACTGGTTTGTTCTTCAGAGCAATTGGTGTCAGTCTTGGCTTTTGGCGGAACATAGAGTTTCATGTCTGGCCTCCGACTTCTCCGGTCATCGCTTCGATTGTTTCGTTTGCCTCTCTTATGATAATTGTTTGCTTTGCCTGTCTTGGAGTCCGATTGTGGCAAATCATCCACAATATTACCATCACTTGAATCCATTTCTTTGCAACCAATAACTTTAAATCCACTTTTCTATCACAAATCAGATCATTAACTCTATCGGCGAAGTCCTGTTGAATACATTCTCCATTATCATCGAACAGACAATCCCAAGAAGTCTCGTCCACACTCTCATCATTTGAGAGCTTAAGTGCAGTCATGTGTTCACTCACTTCTTCGTAACAATTTTTGGTATCAAATGAGTTGTTTTCAATGTAATCAACAGATAATGAATTGGTTTGGTTTGCATCAGAAGAATGAATGTCACAATTGTGGCGCTTCTCATGACTAGAATCACTGATTTCAAGTCGAGTCATATTATCCATTGTTTGGCACATAGTTTGTGGTAACTCTTGAGAACTGGTTTGTGGTAACTCTTGAGAACTGGTTTGTGGTAACTCTTGAGAACTGGTTTGTGGTAACTCTTGAGAACTGGTTTGTGGTAACTCTTGAGAACTGGTTTGTTCTTCAGAGCAATTGGTGTCAGTCTTGGCTTTTGGCGGAACATAGAGTTTCATGTCTGGCCTCCGACTTCTTCGGTCATCGCTTCGATTGTTTCGTTTGCCTCTCTTATGATAATTGTTTGCTTTGCCTGTCTTGGAGTCCGATTGTGGCAAATCATCCACAATATTACCATCACTTGAATCCATTTCTTTGCAACCAA